CACAGCACTTCATGTCAAAGGGACAAATGCTGGGCAGGACTTTGGTTTATTGAAAGATTTACGTGTTTTGTACATTTTGGAACTTTTATATGCAGGTAAATGATAATAATTCCCTATCACTCAGTAGCATAAAGGGTTTGCTGAAGAGGAATCCAGCAGACGGTACATGGTCTCAGCTCATCTCCAGTGGGGCTGAGCCAACCCTCTGCCCGGTGGTGGCTGGGCATTGCATGGCAAGGCAGACCGATACCTTATTTCAGGTCTGCCTGGCCTGTTCCTCTTTACAGTCAGTGACTGTACATGTGACATGACAAATTTTGAATTCTTTCAGCAATTTCGAACTATGTACATACCCATTTCAGATGGTAATCATCTCTACTTTGTTTCCAGAGCCTCGTTTGTGCCATCATGCTGGCTCTGCAGCCTTCACATCAAGTTAAAACAAGTAGGGAAGGTTGGGAGAAAGCCCCCCTGTTGCTGGGGGCTATACATTCCACCTGGAAGATCCTCCGTTCAGACGGAAGCACTTTTGGACACAGCTGGCCAAACCAAGAGAGCCTGCTGCATCAGATGAGCTGGCAACTCAAACAGCAATTGCAGGGGCTGGGGCTGGACAGGGCTGATCAAGAAATTGCACGATAGACCTGACAAGAAGGTTACAAAAGGCAATCTCTTACAAGTCATTTCCCACCAGACTTTTCTAGAGCAGGACAGTGGATTCTCTGTAGAGGCTTCTGGTCTACTTATAGGGGAACCAAAGGTAACAAGGGGAGAAAATCCTATTATCAAGTAAATTTAAACTGTCTACACAGGGGCTAGGCCTCAGGCACTTGCTGCTTTCTGAATGATCTGTCACTTCTCCTGAGATGTCTGAATGAAGTGTGAGGTTTAGAACTCATTTTGCAAAATTTGTGTATTTTTGCTTTAGTTATATTACACTCCTGTAGAGGCGAGCTGTGACTCACAGGTGACTTGTAAACTATAAGGATAGGCCTCTGAGAAGAGCCACAAAAAATCCCCAAACATTGAAGAGAAAGAAATTAAGGCAAATTCCTACTGTGCAGGGTGCAACAGCACCATAACGCATGGTCCCAGGGGAGAAACCTGCTTTTTTACCTCTGTCAACCCTTCCAGGAAGGAAAGGTCTCCTGTATTCAAAGCCATCATTTTGATGGAACCCGCTCTATCAAACTCTTAGTGATTTGGGGACTGGACGTTACAGGAGGTCCCCTCTTCAACCTGAAATCAGTCCATGTTAAAAAAATGCTATGGTGGTGTTACGTCCATGCTTTGTGAAAACAGAAACATCAAACTGATGTGCACAGCAGTGTGGCTGGAGGGAACAGACAGATGGTCAAATGGACAATGGCCAAATTTAAGTCAATTTTACCATTTTTTTTCCTGTATTTCTTTGTTCTTTTTATTCATCAGTCTGAAAAATTGATTATATTCTTTATCTAAAATTATTTTGTTCACAAGCAAAACAAAAAATATGTATGTTACAGGACACAATTTCAAAACACATTTCTGAAACTCCCCTGCCTCCTTTATGCCTGAACACTGTAAACATACCCTGATATATTTATATGCAACGATAGCAATCTGAGATCAGTGCTTAAAAATAAACCAAACAGGAATTGCAGCGTGTGTGTGCACAACAGACACACCAATCTATAGTAGGGGCTGAAGAGATGACATTAGGGGAATACTGTCCATTATATTTGTTTGGTTTTAATCCAAATTGTTAAAGCTTGAGGTGCAGAGGGTTGTGCAAAGTTTAGTTTAGGCTCTTTTTTTTTTTTTTAAATAAATGCAACAGTAATTATCACTGAAGCGACTAAACACCGTTGCCATGTTACATTCTAGATGAAACGGCCAGTGCTCTTTTCCAAGAGTAAGCCCACATCTAGCTATCCCCATTTTGAGCATATCCAGTCAGAACCCAAAAGCATCACCTACCTAGTTATAGGTGCCCCTTACCCTTTGCCATCCCTCACTCTCAGAACTCAAGTTTTTGTTCTGTTGAAATCTGTGACTAAATTGCAACAGATTCACAGATGGATAGGAGCAGTACGTGTCACCTGGGCCTTTGAAAAGCAGATGGCAATAAGGGATCATCCTGAAGGCAACAGATATCTACAGTAGCTATAGGGGAAATGTGCATATATGCATAAAGGAAGAGGCAAGAGTAAGTAAAAACGTCAAAGGCTTTTTAGTTTGTTATCAGCATATTGGTGGATCTCTGTCTCCCATTATCTCTTCAATTCCCTTGTGTGACAAAAGAAAGACTTCAGGCTTACTGCTGCATTTTCCCTTACACACCAAAGAGAACTCAGAATTTTTAGTTAGTGGTTTTATACAGTTCTTTATGGCTTCTCAATTTAGGCCCCTGCATCAAATGAATTAAGACAGAATGTAATCGTTTCTTTGATGCAGTGTTGTACAACGCTAAGCACCAAGTTTTACAGCAAAAGGAAAACAACTGCATCATTCACAGAAAAGGTCTAGATTTGCTTGCAGTAGGTAAAGCAGAGACTGCAGGAGATGGCACACAGCAAACTAGAGAGAATAAAGGCACAAAATTTATTTTGCTTATCAACCCAAACATCAAGTGATTTCTAGTCATATACCAAAGGAGATAGGAGTAGAATGGGCAACAATGGGAGTTTTTGTGGATTTTAAAACAGCATGAGTCAAATACTTAAAAATCAGCGTGTCAGCTGCTGGAAAATTGCCCACATGGCAGTAGACGCTAGGAAATTTGCCCATGTGTGAGCTCAGAAGCAAAAACAAGCTTCTGGTGCACACAAAGGTTTGAGGAGACAAAAGCTCACAGCCCACGGTTCAGAGGAAGGGTCCAGGTCCCACAAGTGCTATTGCGATCAACTATTAATTATGTATTAAATCGGCATTGATGGTATTGAATGCATTTTGAAACACAGCACTTCCCCAAAGGAAGTATTATCTAATTGTTTTTATACCCCTCAAAGACAGACATCTCCTTGGCACCTAGAAAGGAATATATAATCCGGGGGGCTGCTTCTCTGAGTAAATTTCTTTCCTGCCCCCTCAAGAGGGCTGCTGCTCAGGGCTGTACACCTCCTACTGCAGAAGAGCCAAGGAGTATTTCTGGTCCTGCCAAAGGCTACACACTTACTCTGGGGCCTGGCAGTAGAAAAGGCTGGAAAAGACCAAATGTGCAGGTCCATATATTTTTCAATCGCAAAAAATGACCCTACAACAAGTTTAGCAGGGTATCTCCAAATAAAAAAAGAAACCATCTACAGGGCAACTGCAACAGAGAAATTAGATTGTAACAGAGAAGCCTATGATAAAAAGATATGAGGAGTTTTCACTAAATTATTCAATATAGGAGTAGGCAAATCACACTTTATTGGCAGGTCACTGTTCAATTAACCTTTACAAATAGCTGCATTTAATAATTTGTCTTGTTTATATGAATGTTGACATAAGACAGATTAATACGTTGTCTGAATTAGACAGCGTTTTAGCTCCAGTTTAAAGTAAGTATTTGGTAAATCACTGGTGCAGCAATGCATGCAGTTATTAAATGCCCTAAGGTCAGACCAAAAGCCAGATTAAAAATGTACCAATAGAAAGATCACCTGTGAATTTCAAATTATGTTAGTTAATATTCATGATTTCAGTGACTAAAGAAGTGACCCCAAAAGTTTTATGCCACTTTAACCTACTTGTTGCTACCTCAGATAGATAGCATTTACGTTTATATCTAACTTCCTTT